ATGTCAGATTTGGCTTTTTGTTTCTCCTTGTGTCATATCAATACAAACATAAGAAACATGAAAATGACTAAACATTTGTAATTGCAACTATTCTCTTGGCGAAGTGGTGCATTATCTGACAGAAACGTAGGGGTGCCAATATTTTGGCCTAATGACTGTATATGAGCAACTAAAAACCCTTTCAGGGGTTTCCCAATAGTCACAGAAAGACCAATCTATCAAGTCATGAACAGGGAATAATTTGCAAGGCTTATTAGACCTCTTTCTGCCCAAAGGGGCGTGGCGATACAGAGGACAATGTGGGAGAAATACATCTTCTGCAGCTTCATCTAACACTGCCTCTATATCCTCTTCATTCTCCTAGTCATCTAACAGTGGCATATCAGGGTCTGACTCTGATTGAGAAACGGGGAGTAGGAGAAGAGATGGGGCGTTTTCGTGCTCTGGACAAATATGGCTGCATTAAAGCCATAATCGGTCTTCGAATTCATAACATATATGAACATATATTCATAACTGGAATCGAATCCTGTAGCCAGTTTCAAGACTGGTTTGTGCTCAGGTGCAAAGCATGCATAGTCACTCTGAGGCTTAAGCCTAGTACACACGATCAGAAAAATCAACAAAAAAATATCACTTTTGAAGCAAGTATGTGATAATCCGATTGTTAGTCCACCGCTTTCGTCCAAAATTATTCGAAGGGACAAATACAAAATGTTTGTTTTTTGTACCATACCAGATTGCACAACTTTCATTTGATCAATACAGTAATTGCCTGAAAAAAAAAAAATAAATAAATAAAAAATAAAATGGGAAGAGCAAGATCACGCAGAAACGATACAATATATTACACCACTTCTGAAGTTGTATTCTGTTGTAGAAGAATTTTCGTAACTTTAGTAACCTCACATTTTCGGTATAAGACTAGCATGTGAAAAAAAAAACCCTCCAAAAAAACTGGACCATCATTCGTCCAATATTCTCATCGGGTATACCAAGATTTAGTGCTGAGCGAGGCTTCAGCAGACCAAATGAGGTTTGCCTGCTGTTTAGAGTTGGCTCCTTTCGTATGGTCTCCACCACAGCTGCAAGTGAGGGTTTTCCCATATGGGGTACTGACAAATAGACTATGGGAAATAAGATAAGCACGTCCGAAGAAGAAGTATCCTGTAAGCCAGGAGTAGACCACTTTGCAACAAATCCTCGTGGTGAAAGGGTGGGAGGAAGCACCTGAGTACCTTATATAGGGCTCTAGGCAGAAATGGTGATAAAGATGTGACCAGTGCTGTGGTGAAACACCTGGGCTTCCACCTGAGACTGAACTCTGAGTTTATGAATGTTGGAGCCAAGTTTGAAGAGTTTACACCATAAAGGGAATACATTCCTAACATAGCACCGTTCTACATATAACGGTCAAACATACAGAATGACCTGGTCTTACCTGCTTATAACAGACTGTGTATAAACCCCAGGCTTTGCCTATCACAGTGGGAATACTCCTAAAGGGGTCTGCAGGGATTCTGTCAGGGCTCCCGGGTATGACCAGAGGTGTGTGACTGACGCAGGGAAACGCAGACTTCAGATATGTTATAAACAATGTAATTTATTAACACTAACCATACAAACATAAACGCAGTGCAATACTAAAACATAACACAGTGCAAACAAACCAACCAACCACCCACAGATAACAGTACATACAATGCAAGCGTCGTCAGGCAGGCCGGGTCAATATCAGTCGGGCAGGTAGGTACAGGGGGAGCAAGCGGAGAATGGTCGGGGTCACAAGCCAGGTTCAGCAGGTAGCGGGCAGCGTGGTACAGAGGGTCAGGCAGAGGAGAATGGTCAGACAAGCCAGGGATCAGAGCAGGGTCAGCAGAGAATCAGACAGGAACAGAGAGCAGGAACAGGATACAGGGCCCAAGAGAAACACAACACCAAGGCAGAGTCTGCAGGTCTGAATGTCCCTTACATACACCAGTATAATTAGTTCCAGGTGTTTGACTGGCTGCAAGGTTGAGTCTCTGATTGCTGGGAGCACCCGCTGGCCAGCCCTGGTACTGCAGCTCATAAGGCAGCTGAGTCCCACTATTGCTGGCCAGTCCATTCCTGACAGATTCCATTGTGCTGCACCATAGCCCTGGACCTGTATAGCACCCTGTGGCTAACTCAATGCATTGCATAAAGTGCCAAGGTGAGCGCCTCGCAAAGGATCCCGTGCCCAAAGCAAAATTACAGGCCACTCCCACAGCATCAGATGCGGGTACAGTTCCCAAGATTGTGCAGATCTGGATACACTGCTTCTGTAGGCAGTGAGGTTGATTTAAGAATCTGTAGAAAAAACAATATTAAAAAGTACTGAAGCTGGTTTCTCTGAGAAGAAAAAGATGTCCATCACCTACAGACACTAGCACAAAACCGAGGACTCACAGAGTGGAGTTGGATTATAGGAAAGACAAGTGTTCTCAAAAGCTTGCCAGTGTCCAATCACCTGAAGGTACAGTTGTGTTAAAATAATAGCAGTGTGTTTAGAAAAGTGAGTAAAGTTCAAAATCCTTATAATAGCTTTTATTTACATACACTCAAATGCATTAGGAACACTGCAGAGCCTATTCCAAGTCAAAACATGAAAAATATTTCAAATGTGTTATTACTTTACAGAAAGTGACGAAAAAGGAATATTAGGCTTTTAGGCCTGCATTTTTCTTTACATACTCAAATATTTACTGTATAAACTGAAAATGGTTAAAGATTTAGCTTTCCTGTGAATCACAGAACTAATATATATAGTTGTATAACCACTGTTTCGGAGAACTGCTTTACATCTGTGTTGCATGGAGTCTTCTGGCACCTGTGAAGAGGTATTCCAGCCCAGGATGATTACACTACATTCCACAATTCCTCTGCATTTCTTGGTTTTACCTCAGAAACAGCATTTTTTATGTCACCCCACAAGTTTTCTATTTCATTAAGGTCCAGGGATTGGGCTGACCACTCCATAGCAATTATCTTGTTGGTCTGGAACCAAGATGTTGCTCGCTACTGGGGTGTTTGGGGTCATTGTCTTTCAAAGACACTTCCTCTTCAGCATGAGGCAATATGACCTCTTCAAGTATTCTGATGTATTCAAACTGATCCATGATCCCTGGTATGCGATAAAAAGGCCCAACACCGTAGTATGAGAAACATCCCCATATCATGATGCTTGTGCCACCATGCTTCACTGTCTTCACAGTGTACTGTGGCTTGAATTTAGTGTTTGGGGGTTGTCTGACAAACTGCAGCCCTAGACCTAAAAAGAACAATCTTGCTTTCATCAATCCACAAAATGTTGTGCCATTTCTCTTCAGGCCAGTCAATGTGTTCTTTGGCAAATTACAACCTCTTCAGCGTGTCATTTTTTCAACAATGGGGGGGGGGCTTCTTGCTGTTAGCTTGGCTTCACGTAGGCATCTTCTAATATTCACAGGTAACTTTAGACCTTCTTTGATCACCCTTTTTGCCATTTTGGCTATTCTTCGATCCATTCAAATGGTAGTTTTCTGTTTTCTTACAAGTCTTTCTGGTTTTTGTTGCCATTTTAAAGCATTTGAGATCATTGTAGCTGAGCAGCCTATCAGTTTCTGCAATTCTTTACATGTTTTCCCCTCTCCAATCAACTCTTTAAACAAAGTAAGTTGTTCTTCTGAATAATGTCTGGAACGACCCATTTTATTCAGATTTTCTGAGAGAAATGCACTATACACAGCATGTAAAACATTTGCTGCTTTTGTCCTTAACCACAAGCCTACAGGGCACTTATACCCCCTTCCTGTCCAGGCCAATTTCAAGATTTCAGCGCTGTTGCACTTTCAATGAAATTGCGTAGTCATGCAACACTGTACCCATATGAAATTTTTATAATTTTTTTGTGACAGAGCTTTATTTTGGTGGTATTTTATTAACTCTGGGTTTTTTATTTTTTCTTAAACAAACCAAAAACCACTGAAAATTGTAAAAAAAAAAAAAAGTTTTTTTCTTAGTTTTTGTTATAAAATTTTGTAAATAAGTGATTTTTCTCCTTCACTGATGTGCACTAATGAGGTTGCACTGATGGGCACTGATAGGGTGCACTGATGGGCACTGATGAGGAGGCACTGGTAGGTGCACTGATGGTCATTGACAGGCATCACTCATGGGCACTGAAAGGCAGCACTGATATATGGCACTGACAGGCGGCACTGACTGGCACTGATAGTCGGCACTGACTGGCAGCACTGATTGGCACTGATGGGTGACACTGAAAGGCAGCTCAGATGGGCACCGATATGTGGCATTGATGGGCACTGGCACGTGGCACTGATGAGAACTGACAGCTGACACTGACTGGTGGCACTGCTGGGGGCTCCACTGATCATCAGGGCACACTGATCATCAGTGCTCTGATGATCAGTGTACATGTCCCCTCTCCGGAATGCCGATTACCGGCTCTCCTCTCCTCTCGAGCTGTCAGCGTTACAGCTCGAAAGGAGAGAAATGCCGATAACCGGCATTTCCCTGTTTACATGTGATCAGCTGTGATTGGACACAGCTGATCACATGACCGAGCCGACATCTTCCGCTCTTTCCATGGATTGGTGATCCGCTGTGTCCGAGGGACACAGCGCACCACCGATCGCTGCGTGCTCCGGGAGCCGCACATGCGCGATTAGAATGGGAGGACATCATATGACGTCCTCACAGAACGAGAGAACCACCTTGCATCCGTCATATTACTATATGGCAGGCGGGAGGTGGTTAAATAAGGGCCACCTATTTGACAACACTACACCTACTAGTAAATTATTTGCCATGTGGAAATATCATTTAGACCAAAAACAGGGATTGATCTGGTTAGTGATGTTTGACTACTATTATTTTGAACACAACTGTACAAGCCTTTAACCCTCAGTGTATGTAAAAGTACTTTTTTTCAATACCTACCAGAAGTTCTACTTTAACCTTACAAATAAAAGGCTCACCTTAGAGTTACTCCATTTTCCCTCGTCGAATAGATCCCCAAGGATGAAAACTATATCAGGCTGCATTAGCCAAAGTGCACTTTGATAAGCTCTTTCCATTTGCCATTCCCTAAATCAACGAACAAGACATACATTACATGAATTTATGCCTACAAAATAGACTAGTATATTTTCTCAGAATACAGAAAAAAAAAATATAGAAAATTTAGCAAAGGTACATTTTATTACAGTAGCTTTCAACTAGAGTCCCAGAATTAAGGAGTGCAGTCTGCCAGCTCTCTCTAGGTTAAAGCAGAACTTTACCCATAACAGTTTGATTATTGTTCTTTAACAAAAGAACATACATTCCACATTAATAATTATGCTATCAAAATTAAGAGTGTACTGTAGATTGCCTTCAGCATAGCTCCAGTTTCTTCTTGCTGGAGACTGAATATCACTGTTATAAACAACAATTTTTACTGAAAAAAGTTGATTCGTTCAGTGTTTACTATTGTGATTAGCTGTGATTGGCCACAATTAATCATATGGTACAGATGAGCTGTGATTGGCCCTGTCTATCATGTGATCACTGTGACCAAACACAGAAATCAACACAATGATAGGCATGAATGGATGCTAGCCATAGTGTAGTGTACAATTGTCATGTGATCGGCTGTGATTTGTCACAGCGATCACATTGCTACTGGCAGCAGGCTGGTACACTGATCTGTCACCCGCTATGTTCGTGACGGATTGCATCGCAGAACAGTGAATGTTCCACCCGGCCTATAGTAAAATAAGGAAGGTGTTAAGGCAACTCTAACTTTTGTGTGCAGAGATAGGAAGAACAGCACAGGGCCTATGCAGTGTAGCAAAGCAGCATATTTGCCACCACTACCCTCTCCCTGTCACTGGTTGTTAAAACAGAGCACCAACCAAAATGGGAAACTCTGCTTGTCTTCCTCCACCCACCCCCTTTGCTGCCACATTTGACACCTTTTGGGGGGGGGGGGGGAAGAGGGGGTAGCGGGTACCTACTACCATGCCGAACTGACTCGGAAGTTCGCCCACCCTCCTTCCCCCGCAGCCTACAGGGACACTTCACAGGTCCAAGAAGACTGCGGTCCATTCACAAAGCGCAGCACACTTCACGTGTGTGCATTAGGAGACTGCAGTGAAGCCTTGAGTTTCCCTTTAGTCAAGATGGTGGTGCCAGCACCCAATAGCCGCCTGAAGAATCCGCTCGGGTGAGGACACCGCTGGATGCCTGGACAGGTAAGTGCCCTAATATTAAAATCAGCAGCTACAGTACTGTACCATACAACAGCTAGATTCTGTACGCAATAGCAGGTTTACGATGGGAAATTAGTGTCTGTAAACCCCCCCAGGCTCCTACACCCCAGGTACATAGTCGATTGTTGTACGACTTGGGTACAAACAGCATGTAATAATATTAAGCTATTATAGCCGCTAGCAGTAATCACTATGTTCTCCCGGAGGGGACGGCTTCGCCTGCTGGGAGAACACTGGCTGTGTTGATGGGGGATTCAAGCGATTTTCCTTCCTGCAACCCGTGGTTTCAGAAAAGAAAATTGCATCATGTATGGCCTGCCTTAGACACTCTATGAATTCTCCTAATTGGTTGTCCCTTTTGGCATCTATGAGGATTTCACCAACCCTGTACAGGGTAAGGAGAGTAGAGGTACTTGAAGCCAGCCATTTGGAGATGCAGAACTCCACATTTTAATGGAAACAGTATTTGATCTATGAAAGACTAAGTGCAGGAACACATTACATCTGCTACAGGAATTGGTGCTACCGACCTTACAACAAAAGTTTAGCGAAACCCCATAAAAGCACTGTAACCAGAGTAATACTACTTTCGAAAGGTGACCAGGATTTTTTTTTTTTTTATACTCACTATGGTCACCTATAAAACAGTAATAATTACGGTTATAAGGCAACCATTTAATCTGAAATGGTTGCTTATAACAGTATCATTCATTCAGTGTACACTATTGTGATTAGCTGTGATTGGCTACAGTTAATCACATGGTACAGATGGGCTGTGAATGGCCTAGTCTGTACCATGTGATCACTGTGCCAAATCACAGAGATTAACACAATAGTACATGAGCCAAATCACATGGTACCAGCAGCAGCCCGGTAATACTGATCTGTCATCTGCTGTGTCCACTGGACATAGCAGGTGACAGATCGTGCCACAGCACAGCCCATGGGGTGTGATCCTGGGAAAACATCATATGATGTCCACCCAGGATAACAGTACTCTCACCCGGCCTACTATAATAGGACGGCCGAGAGGTAGCACTGCTATCGGTTAAGCAGTTAAAGCAGAACTGTGTTTTTACATATGTGTGTTCATATATCTCTCAAGGGATTCTTTTTCCCTAGGTGCATTATTTTACATTAGAAAATATTGAACTGCAATTTCCACTTTTTTGACCAAACTTCCAGCAATGCCAAATCATGTTCCATGTTCCAAACGCTTCCAAGGATATCAACCCTTTTGCACACCTTTGTGTCATCAGCAAAAATTCCTTACTGGCTGAGATACAGCAGCGGGAGCCATTTTGTCTTTCCTTCCAAAATATGTATATTCCCCCAGATTTCTAATCCAGATACTACTTACTCTTCTCTACTAGAAGCTTGGCCAAAACTGTGTATGGGTATTGAAGAAGAAACAGAGGTTTACTAGAAGAGTCAACTCTATTTCTCTCCTCCAGTCAGCAAGTGCCATTTTTTTAATTAAATCTTTTATAGGTTTTAACATTATAAAACAAACAGTTATTTCAGTTATTAAACTCACACATTTTCCAAATCACAATTTTTACAAAACTCCCTCCCCATATCCCCCCCCCCCCCCCATTCACTCAGATCCTCAGTTAACCTCTATCGTCTGTCCTCCCCCTCCTACCTCACTTAGTGAAAGTATCTAATAACTTTCAGTATTTCCCCTTTCCATCTTCTACATTATTATTAGTACAGGTACTTATATAGCGCTGTCAATTTACTCAGCGCTTTACATATGTATTGTACATTCACATCAGTCCCTAATCCTCAAGGGGCGTACAATCTACAGTCCCTAACTCACATTCATACATACACATACTAGGGCCAATTTAGACAGGATCTAATTAACCTACCAGCATGTCTTTGGAGTGTGGGGGAAACTGGAGTACCCGGAGGAAACCCACGCAGGCACAGGGAGAACATGCAAACTCCAGGCAGGAGGTGCCGTGGCTGGGAATGCGAACCAACGACCCTAGTGCTGCCAGGCGGAAGTGTTAATCATTTAGCCACTGTGCTGCCCATTCCTACTTGTTCTATGTATATCTTAGTTGTTTATAGCTTATCCATTTTTCCCAGGTTTTCCTAAATTTTCCAACTTTATCCTCACCAATATGGCACAGTTCCTCCATCCTATACATATACTCCACTCTAATTACACAATCTTTTATTTTAGGAATTTCCTGTCTCTGCCAGGATCTAGGTATTAATCCCTTTGCGGCATTTATTAAATGAATTATCATGCTCTTATATTGTTTCACTGTAAAATCTAAGTTATGAAATACACAGGCCCAAGGGTTGTTTGGTATTTTAATTCCTGTTATCTCCTGAACTTTATGTATTATTTCTTGCCTGAACTCCTGTATTTTAGGACACTCCCACCATATATATATATGCCATCGTTCCTTCCCTCCTGCAACCCCTCCAACATAAAGGTGAACTCTGAGCTCATTGTTTATGTACCATAGTAGGTGTACGGTACTATCTGACTAAACATTTATAGTCAATTTCCACTACTCTCAAGTCTACAGCACCTTGTGCAAATTTCAATATTTTCCTTTTCTTTTGTTCTTCCAATTTTAATCCAAGATCTTTTTCCCCACTTTCCCAAGAACATTGGAGAAACACATCAGGCCGTATTAATAAGAATTTTATAAATACAGGAAGTTACATGTTTATGTATTGTTTCCTGACTAAATAAACGTTCCAATGGGAGTATGTTCTCCATCACCCTAAGTGGCTGTGGGAGGGCTACCACAAAGTGTCTCAATTGGTGATTTCTCCATTCATTTAAACTTACAAAATAATCATTTCTTATTTATTAAATCTAAAAAAGAACATTATTCTCCTTTTTCCGTGATATCTTTCAAATGAGCATTTTTATTTTTAATCCATTTACCTAAAATATTTTCTTTCACTGGAGGAAAAAAAGCAGTTCCCTCCAGTGGTATTAACAGTGAATTGTACTCCCAGCCCATTTGGTTGTAAAATCTATCCCACTCTCTTATAACATTCCGTGTTAAAAGTGCTCATATTTTCCGAAAGCTTCCGAAACGTTTGTGGAATCCATCTTATCCAATTGTGACCTGCTTAGTATATTTTCCATTTTAACACAAATTTTCATTAGATTGGGTAGTGTTATTCTAGGATTCACAATATATAAAACAACATTACGTCTTCGTAAGCCGTTACTTTTTGCTCTCTTCATTTCCTATCAAGATTCTCTTTAGACTTATGCTCTTTTGAACAGTCGCTAAGAGAGATAACAAAAGCAGTGGAGAAAGTGGACATCCCTGTCTTGTTCCATTATACATTTTAAAGCATTTTGACTGTGCACCATTAACCCTCACCACTGCTGAAGGGAAAGTATACAACTTTTTTATCCACTGAATCATCCAAGGCCAATTCCCAAAGCTTCAAGTGTGTTCATAATGAATCCCCAATCTACCCTGTCAAAGGCTTTTTCAGCATCAATTGACATTATCAACGCCTAATCAGTCTCCCTCTTACTCTTTTGCAAAAGGTGCAATGATCTTAATCCGTTATCTCTGCCCTCCCATCCTGGCACAAATCCCACCTTGTCTATATGAATCTAATCTGGCATCAATTCCTTCATCCTGCTTGCTAGAACCTTAGCATGCAATTTTGTGTCTATATTTAAGAGTGATATGGACCTATAGCTGGTGCATTGGGATGGATCTTTCCATTCTTTTGGTGTATTTGTAATATACCCCTGTAATGACTCTTCCCTCATTTTCATCTCCCTTCCCAATGCACTCATATACACACACATTTTGGGCACAAGTTGCTCTTGAAATTTCCTATATCTCAACATGAAGCCATTTGGTCCCGGGCTCTTTCCTACAGCTGTGCCCATCAATACCCCATTGCTTTCCTCCTGCGAGATTGGTCTTTCCAATTCCAGTAACCTCTCCTCTTCCAGCCTAGGAAGTCCGGCCTCTTTTACATATAACTACCTTTTTTGCTCCTTCAGATTCTTTCGAATTATTAGTTTTCAAATCATATAGCTTACTATAATATTTTTGGAACACTTTAGCAATATCAGTGGTTAAACAGGCCATTTCTCATCTTTGATTTTTTCTATAGAATTCCTTAATTTCTTTTCTCTTACCTTTCTTATTAAGTATTTTCCTGGTCTATTTCCCCACTGATATCTTTCCTTTGCCACCCCGTTAAATACTCTTCTAGTTTTCTTGCTCCATTATATCCTTTAGTTCCTTTCTTTTCAAAATTATTTTCTGTTGTATTTCCGCATCTATGTTCTTTTTATGTGCTTGTTCTAGATCATATAATTCCATATAATTCCTTAAGTAACAGTTTAATTTTTTTCTCAGTTTTTCTTTTATTTGGCCCCGATATCAAAATGCCCCTAATATATGCCTTATGTGCCTCCCATACTGTAGCAATAGACATCCCTTCAGTTTCGTTGAGGGTAAAATATTGCTCTATTTCCTTCTTTAATCTCATCTCTGTCTCCAAATCCTGTATTAATGTTTCATTAAGTTTCCATGTATTACTTCTGATCCTCTCTCTTCACCACCTTAAACTCATTGTAACAGGTGCATGATCTGATAGTGAGATTACTTCAATATTAACCTTTACCAAAGAATCCAAAAATCTACATTCTATCATTATATGGTCCAGCCTTGAATATGTCCCATGTGCTGGAGAGAAGAAGGTGTAGTCCTTATCCCTTGGATGTTTAATTTGCCATGTGTCCATCAATTGACATTGATAGAACATTTTTGTAACCAATTTAAGACTACCACCTACCTCCCTCTGCGCCGATGTTGATGCATCCATCCATGGATCCATACAGAAATTAAAATCACCTGCCACAATCAGCTGTCCTCTCTTGAAAACCATAAGATTTTTCAAGACACCCTCCAGATATACCATCGGATTCTTATTAGGGCAGTAGATATTTGCTAATGTACATTCTACTCCTTGTAATTTCCCTCTCAGGAACAAAAATCAACCCCCTATATTGAACACTATCTTCCACCACAAAGTCAACATTCTTTGCTATCCCAATTGCTACCCCCTTTGCACGTTTAATGGGTGAATCCGCATATAACTCAATATTTGTATCCTGAGATAAATGTGTCCCCTTTAAGAATATCACATCGATAAAATATTGGTGAATATCCCTCAGGATCTTATACCTTTTAGTCCTGGTTTTCAATCCTTTTACATTAAATGTCATAAACTTACACATATTCATTCCTACTCCATGTCTATTCTCCATCTATGTGGGGACTCAGAGGGAAACAGATTTACAAATTTTAAGACTAAGTGAAAAACTCTCTCTGGGTGACTTTTACTTTCCTTCCCCCTCCCTCACCCCTCCTCCCCAGTCCCCTCCCCCTTCCCACTTCTCCTTGGCACATATTTAGCCCTGGAATCAGTTGTGGCTATTTTCCACCTTCGATTATTCCTTGGCGTATGACTCAGAGCACCTGGGCCAGTTTCCCTTAGATTCCCACTAGACTGTGAAAAAAAAGCAGCTTCCCAATGCCCATATTATAAATCCCTCTTCTTTTCCTTCTCTCCTCTCCCTGCCTCCCCGCTGCATCCAACCTTAAAAGCCTGTATAGGAAAAGAACAAAAAAAAAAAAAATTCTCCTTTTCTTTCCTATTTCTCCCCCTCCCCCTATGTACACTACACTAGGACTTCTCAGTCCCATTCTCTATTTGGGGACCCGTTGCCACCTATTTTTCCTTAGTTCAACACTTTCCCTGGTCCCTTCGACCATCCTGGAATGTCAACTGCAAGTCCAGTCTTTCACAAAAGGGCTTTCAAAACTCTCCTCGTAGCTAAAGTCTCTGATGCTATGTCCGCAAAAATCTGCAGGCTTACTCATCCACTCATACTTTACTTCTGGGACTCCGCGTATCATCTCCCAGATATTGGCTTTATCTTCATAGTGATGAAAATGCACAATTACATCTCTAGGAACCTCTGACACAATTCCCTGTGGTCAATTAATACTATGGACTGTCAACTTTCAGTTGTTCTCTCATTGGCCTACCCATTATAGGGCTGAATATTTTCCTTATTTCTTCTATTAAAGTCTGCCCCAGATGTTACATCTGTTAGACCACAGAACCTCAAGTTGTTACTTGTATCCCTATTCTCTTGATCTTCTAATCTATATTCCAGCTTTCTTTGTTCTTTGCAAAAGTCTTCCATCTGCGTTTCTAACTTCATAATTACTTGTGCTTGTATTTCTATTTTTCCTTCTGACTCTTCTAGTCGAGATACCTGCCCCAAGTCATTATGTAACACGGCCATTTCATTCTTGAGATATTTATCTAATTTTGCGAACATCTCGGCCATTTCCATTTTCGTGGGTATTTATTGACTTGAACTTTGTGTTCTTCTACGTATATATTTCTAGAGTTCATTCCACTTTCCATTTTATTTAATTTGTTACTCTGGTCCATATTAGATGCTCCTAGTGAAATTCTGCTTTGGTCTTCATTTTTATTTCCTAGTTCATGACTCCCTCTTCCTCCCTGTTTTTCCATGGTATGATCTTCCAGACTTTTTTCTTGTGGGGGCAGATATTTCCTTATTGTGCTCACTTGTGGAGTTTCTGACCCTCCTCCTTTTACAGATCTATTTTTCATATTGTTACAATACTTTAAGCAGATTTCAGATCTCGTCCCTTTGGTTCTATAACACAAGTCTCATTATTTATAAATTGATCAGAGAGTCCAGCACGGTGCTCACTTCTGTTTCCCAAACAGGAAAAACGTTTTCAATAAAACATAGGTTAATTTCTGACATCATTTATCCTCTCGTGCCTTTTCTTCTATTTCCCCTGGGTGACTCACTTTTTCTTTGTTCCTCTCCTCTTCTTGTTATCAAAGGACCCCATTACAGCATCTTCTAATGCCTTAACACCCCCTTCTCCAGTACCTATAAGCCAAGTGGGTACAATCAGAGGAAGAAAGGAAGGATTTACTGCTACTTGCTTGCGGAAACTCAGTCCCACTATCTTTAACCCATCTAAATGGGTCTCAGTTCCTTCTTTTCCAAACTAATGTCCCGTGTACAGAGTGGGTGTTTGACTCACCAGGGGTCTCTGGTCCTCGGTAGTTTAGCCGGGAAGGGGGGGTCACCCTCCGTGGAAAACCGCCAAACCTACGGGCGTCCAGTATCCCTTCTCTCTGTGGCTTCAGTAAGCTCTCAGCACACTCCTCTGACAGCACTGGTGCAGCTTCCTGCTCACTCCACTGCCCCACACAGGGCTCCCCTCCAGGAGACACACACAATGCTGCAGTGGCTCCCAGGCAATCATCTCCCGTTCCTTGGGCGTATCCACCTCTCCAGCGTTCACAGCTTCAGCCTCCTCACCCGCCACACAGAACTTTAAGCCGGCCAACGGAGAGAGAGAGAGAGACTGAGACTATCTCCTCTCCCCAGGCCGCCAGACACCGCCCGAGAAGGCACGGCCGAAGGTACAGCAGCAGGGAGACAGGCAAGAGGGGGATTTCTCCTATCCCTCCTTCACAGGCATTGGGAGCTCCTGCTCCTAGCGTCCGATCACCGCTATGTTCCAGCCCCTCCCCCCAGCAAGTTCCATTTGTTACGTTCACAGCACTGTGCAATTCAATAAAACCTAATTGAAATTCATGGATGCCCTTTCCTCTACCAGTCTGAATTTTTATGCACTGGCAATTCCCAGAGGGTAGCACAAACGCAAGCTGCGGCACTATTCAAAAATGAAGTATATGAATTAACACTTAAGTAGAATAATTATGGATCTTTTATATCTGCACATACTTAAAGTGGAGGTTCAGTCTGAAAAATAAAAAAAAAAAAAAAATCAAAAAATCAAAAAAAGTCAGCAGCTACAAATCCTATAACTTACTTTTAATAAAACAGGCACTTACCTGTCCCAGGATCCAGCTCCGTCCTCACTTGGGCTAGTTCTTTACTAGCAGTATCACAGCTGAGTGCGCATGTGTATCAAAACTAGGTACCCACTCACCACCCCTCCATAACTACATGCCAAGCTAGGCAGAGGAGGATTTCTTAAAGCAGAACTTCTCCTTTTGGGTGGAGCTCCGCTATAAGTGTGATTTAATTCAAAATCTATCATATTCACATTAGCCCCCACAATCAAACAGCTATCACTGGTGTTCGAATATTCAGCATGATCATTTAATGTCATTTAGTCTACCTTTGCCTTGGATGCTCTTACCTTCTTAGTTTGTCAAACCAATGACCCCGTATTTCACCCAGAAGATGAGTGTCCGATAAAAACATTGCCTTCAGAGGTGTTGAGCTGTGTGTGCTAGGAGCATTCTTCAGGTCTGGCCAGGCACACTGAATTATAACAAAATAGTAAACCAAAAACTCACAAAAAAAAATTACTAGAAAGATGAATGTCAGAAATTTCAGCAGGAGAACACTTCTGTTAAGAAGGGAATTCTTCTCTGTACCAAACCCACTTTTCAACGTGGCCATGTGTACAATGTTCGGATAGTTCAGCGATCACTGCAACATCCATTCGCAGGACTCTGCCTTTCCAAAGGCTGGATCAAAATGGCTACATCTTTCCTGCAACAAGAAACAGAACACAGTTCAAATATACATTTTTTTTTTTTTCATAAAACAGAACGTGTACTTAGTTTTACATATATTTTCTATAAAATATTCAACTTTGCAAATGAAACGTGCAAAAGTTTCATGCCAACTAAAAACAAACAAAAGAAATTACCGTGTGCATAGATAGTAATTTCACTGCTCTGCTGAATGTCTGCAGATGAGAGCCAATAATCACAGCTCTGCATTACTACTGAAGAAGAATATCCTACACTTGTTCAAGTGCACGAAGCCACTGCACAGAATGAACACCTTGATACAAAGTACTTTTTCCCACATATTTATGTTGAAAAAAAAATGTTTGCAATGTATCTAAAATTTAGGAAGCTGTTGTAAGGGTTTCATTACTTTTTTTTTTAATTCACGTTTTTTATCTCAGATTCACTGTTGTACATAACATTTTAGGGACATTACAATTAACTTGTGCTTTGTCCATTCAGGGCATAGCAACACATTTGCTGTAATCACCCCAAAACAGCACATGCTTAGGTTTGTTCCCTAGTAACTCCATTCTGCTCTAGAACAGAAGGAAATAACATGTACATCTGGGTATGTAGGTGCATGTGCAAAAAGTACTGGGCCAATCAAGATTGTCACTCGGGGATTCCATAGCCCTGTGTAGGATACAAATCTGGACATTAATAGCTTACACCAGGCTCTCTCTTTGCCCTAGAACAGTCAATTCACAAAGCATTTTTAATCTTCATTTAGCTCGTTATTTCAATGATATTGCAGGTTATGTAGTTGCTGTGTAAAGGTAAATGAACAACAATAAAGTGTAGCACATTTTTAAACAGACTAATATGTCATAAAAATATATATTAAACAATAAGTAAAGTCCCATGAAAAAGTCTCTTATAACACCACTGTGCAACATGTATAAAATAAATCTTCTTTCTTCAGTGCCAACCGTGTGCCACCATCATTAGGTGAAAAACCTGCTCACCTCACTTTATGACCTCATCAATAAGTCATTATGCGCTCAACATATGGACAGATTTGTGTATACCCTCTGTGGTCTTCCTCCAGCTCCTCTCCCAGGACCGCCAAAGTATACACTCCTCCAGCTGACGCTCTCATATAATATGTATTATGGAAAACAGAAAAGTGGAACCATAGTGCTATTTATAATACAATTTATTAGCGCCCAAATTAAAAACACTTACAAAATGTAAGAAACGAGCCAGCAAATAATGTGTATTTTCATTACATGGCTCACTACCCCGCTCTCCCAGATGGTCATCAGTTCAAAACTTCTAGGGCTCAACTCATTCCACCTATACGCGTTATGCCCCAGATTCGGACTTCCTCAGTAGGCAGAGAACTGGCAAACGTGGAGCCCTTAAATAACCCATGTATCCCTTCTCCCTAACCCCAGAAATGACATCACTTCCTGACCAACGGAAGTGATGGCATTGGCCATCTTGGATCACTTCTGAACCCCGAAGTGATGTCACTGGCCATCTAAGATCACCTCTGGACCAGGAAGTGAAGAAAACCTGATCCCTCAAAGCTATAAATATCCTTATTATAAATTTAAATCTTGCGCCAAAAAATAATCAATAAAAATAAATGCTGCTGTTCAAAAAATGACAAAACATCAAACAAGACTCATAAAGTGATACTTTAATTATAAGAAATAAAATTTTAAATAATATGCAAGTCCAAGAGAAAGTCCAAAATTAAAGTCTGATGTCCTAAAAAAAAGTGATATAATGAAAAAGAATATAAAACTTCATAAATTTTCCAGCGTGCTCACATCATCAGTGGTAAATCATTTCCCCCACACTCACCTGATAAAGTGGATTCTCAAGCTGATATGGCTTTGGGAATCAAAAACAGGCTTAGAGGTGGAGTGTAGTTTCATCAGATGTTTTATCCTTTTATCAATTTCTTACTGAGTCTCCTTCCAAAACAATTCCACATAGGGAAATATAAAGTATAAAAGAAAATACCGATAGTATAATACTGTATGAGGGTCATAAAAATGTTTCTTAAAAGACCTTCATTGCACTCACATTGGGTAGATTTATAATCAGCTTCCGTGGACTAAAATGGACTAAAATGCCTCCCAAACAACCGATAATGAAGGTCTTTTAAGAAAATTTTTTATCATCTATATATCTCTTATAGCATACCAATTGGCTTGTTATTGAAAACTACTTCTGATTCCCAGTGGGCCATAAATATGTTGGCCACACTGAGTGCAAAACTAGCTCCCATCACCACACCGGTTATCTGATGGAAGTAATGGTTGTCATACAAGAAGTAGTTATGTTGGAGACTAGAACTCAGACTCTCCAACAAGAAAATTTTATGTTTCCTAGATATATGAGACAATGACAATGCCCATTTTACTGTCTCCATAGCGTCTTGGTGCTTAATTATGGTATACAACGAGCTGACATCTGTTGTAACCAGAAAACATGCATTAAGGTTAGAAGTCTCATCCAACATCTGTAATAAGTGCTTCGTGTCTCTCAAATACGCCTTTGTGAAGGAGACTATAGGTTGTAAATGTATGTATTGCCACAACATTAATGTGAGGGAATCTACCCTATTCACTATAGATCTACAGGGGGGAGGGTTGGTACCACTTTTGTGTATTTCTGGCAAACAATATATCACTGGGGTCCTGCATGAGGAGGGGTAAAAAGATATTGCGCCACTTTCTCATTAAGGATGTTAACATTTAACTGCTTTTAGTAATTATTTTTTCTAATTCAACTTTATATTCTTTAATGGGGTTTTTATTTAACAACCTATATGTGTTTCTATCTTACAATAACTTATTAATTTAATTCTTATAAAATGTTTTGGTCATCAACACTAAGCCCACCTTTGTCTGCAGGTCTGATTATAACATCTTTCTTATTTTCCAATGCTTGAATACCTTTTTTTTAATAAACATGGGGTCCTGCACCTTTTTTACTTTCAACCTCTCTAAATCATGAACAAATTATTAAAAACGTCTATGAATTAACTGTCCACATTGGGGGGATTAAATGTAGATCTATTCCTAAAATGGGTATATTGTCCATCCTGTGCGGAAGAAGATTTAAGAATTGGATTGGACAAAAAATATTTTCTAACATTCAAAGTTGTCATTAACCTTTGAATGTTAATATATGTGTCAAACATATTCACATTTTTAACAGGAGCAAATTTCAGCCCTTTATGCAACATCTTGATCTCCTCCACAGTTAACAGGATACCACTCAAATTATGTTATATATAAATGTTTAATTTTTTTTATATGAGATATTAGTCTATTGCGCTATAGTTTATTGTTGTTCATTTTGGTACAGGTATTGTGAAGTCACCAACAGTGTTTTAGCAGCAATAATTTAGAGCACCATCATATTATTTTAGGGTATGTTGCGCTGATTGAATAGGGGTTAAGTAGCTGTGTGAAGGTAGTCTAATCTCAAATCTAAGTACCGGTAAAATATCGGTAGCAATAAAATAACATGTTTGCCCCTCTCCTCCACTTGCCCATTTACAGAATGTTTTGTAATTTAGATGATTAAACATGGGTTCATAGAATACAAATCATTCTGTAACTGGACAAAAGGAGAGGAGGACAGACAAATAACAGGATGAATATTGTGTAGGTGAGCTGCAGGTCTCCTGTTAGAGTGCCAGAAATATATTGGATGTGTAAATGACAGGCAGTGATCCCACAGGTGACATACACCTCCTGAGATTTAGCTATCTGTAACTCAGTAACAAAACTAAAAAAGAAATGCAATATTTTGCTAAGTATACACAATAAAGTACATTTGTAAAGACAAAGTTTGCCTATGTTTGTCCATCAATGAAATATAGGTGGTTAGCAACATTCAAAGTCTAATTATTCTAATGAATGTTTTTCCTTCACATTGCTGTTGTAGTGAAGCTTTCAGTGTTGTTGATATACCAGCTCTACCAGTTCTAATGAATGTACCTGTAACATAACTCCACTGGTTATTTATCTACTGGATTTCTCCTTTTGATGGTGTAGTTGACACATGCACTGTAGAAAAAACAAGTTAAATACGAAGTTCACCTTTTAAAAAAAATAACAGATACACATTTTTTACAGGAATTTGTTTTTTTTATTTATTTTACAGGTCTATAGGTGTGTATAAATACAGGTGTAGCATGTAACATTGTGAACGTAGACTTTAAAACTATGTACAAATACAGAGAAAAGGCTTTGGGTACCCAAAATAAAGATTGTAAGCATTTCTGGAACCAGAGAAAGCGCCTAGCTTACAAAATCTGTTCTACAAAAATACAAGCTGTAACCAGCAGAGATGTGGAAGAACACTCACACATGTTTAATAATAATGCACTATAACAGGAATATTATTATATTCTCATGTTAAAGCAGAACTTTAATCATAACAATTGATAAAAAATAATGTTCTTTAGCAAGGAACATACATTCCACATTAATATTTATGCTACCAAAACTAGTGTGTGCTGTAAATTGCCTCCAGCATTGCTCTTGTTTCTTCTTGCTGCAGCCTGCAATTTTGTTGAAGCCCAAAGCCCTGAGCAGCAGTTAAAGCAAACCTAAACCCTCCTATCCTTTTCAGCTAAGGAAGCTTTAATCTGTTTGATCTGCAACTGCCATGGTAATGCATATATAATCAGTTATAACACCAATCATTTGATGGTTTGACAGTTTGGTTGAGAACACAAGCAAATGTGACAGTTGGCATTCCTGTTAGTTCTGCTTTAGCCGCTTTCCGCTCGCAATGTACTGTGGCTGGGCGGCAGCTACAGGCAAATCGACCTACTCGTAGGTTGCTCTGGCTGTACTAACACAGGGGGGGCAGCAGACACAGCAAAATGAAAATCCTGGTGAATGGGAC